TGTGGAGAAGCGGTGCATGCGGGTGCATCAACGAAAGTACCTGGAGGCATTGGCTGCCAACTTTGGGCAGAGTGAAGGCCATGTGGCTACACCCTTTCCCTCTGGGTTCAAGTGTGTGAAGGGACCAGAGGAGGAGAGCGTTGGTGAAGAGGAGAGGCGCCGATTTCACTCGTTGGTGGGCAGCCTCATGTATGCGGCGGTAAACACCCGACCGGACGTCGCGTTTGCTACCGGGCAGCTGGCTAGGGTTGTGCAATGCCCTAATGAGGAGCAGGTAGCAGCTGGAATGAGGGTGGCCAAGTATCTTGGCCAAACACCGACCGTTGGGCTGCAATACTCGGCGGCGGCACAAAGGCGCCAAAAGGGCGCGGATGGTGTTGAACCCGGGCGTTTGTTCCTCACCGCCTACTCGGATGCTTCATATGCATCAGAACCAGAGGACATGACAAGTGTGGGAGGCTTCATATGCTGTGTTGGTGGAGGCCCAACTGCTTGGGAGAGCAAGAAGCAGGTTGACCAAGCTTTGAGCTCGGTGGAGTCCGAGTACATGGCACTCTTCCGTGCCGTACGGGAGATTGTGTGGCAGCGGCGTTTGTTGGCTGAATTGGGGGAGGAGCAGCAAGGACCTACCCCACTGTACTGTGACAGCCAGGGTGCCATTGCTCTTGCTAAGAACCCTGTGTTGCATGGACTCACGAAGCACATGAGAGTGAAGTGGCATTGGACGAGGAGCATGGTAACCGCGGGTGAAGTTGAGTTGCGCTACGTGAAGACCACGGGGCAGCCGGCTGACATGATGACCAAGAGGCTGGTGGAGCAGCAGCATTGGAAGTGTTGCAAGCTGGCTGGGATGGCTCTGAACTGAGAGAGCAACATATCCTAAGGCCAACAATCCGAGGGGGAGTTTGTTGGTGCAACCCTACGGTTTGCACTCGGCTTGTTGTCCGTGTGCGTGAATGTGTGTGTGTATGGAATGGTATGAGGGCATGGGATAATATATATTTCATGCTTATAATTGTGTGTGAATGTTGAGTCATGATGTCGAGTGTGTGTGTCGAGTCAATAGCGAGTTATCGCTAGACGCGTGTTACGCGGTCGTTTGTGTCTCGCGCGCGGTTTCTATTTTGTCGTGCGCGGTTTCTATTTTGTCCTGTGTCGAACGTTCGGCGTGTCGCAGGTGTGTGCAGCAGACCCATCAAGAACTCAAGGATGAGTTTGTGATGAAGAGCCCGAGCCTTGGTGTCAAGCCTCAAGTGATTTCGAAGCTCGCCAAAAGGGTACACCTCAAGATATTGAAGATAGTTACATTACTTTGTGTAGTGTAACATTTCACTTGGTGTAGGCCCTAGTGAAGGGTATTTTCGAGACCCTTCGTGGTTGGGGACAGTGTGGCACTGTTCCACATCACTGTACCTCGGCTCTTGGGGTTTGTAGGAGCTGGGAGTCATTCCCAACTCGTAACTCTTCCTATCTTGTCTTCTAAGACTATAGTGGCTGCCATAGTACCGTTCGTTCAAACCGACGCTGTGTCGTCAATTCTTTATCAAATCGTGCAATCTAAATTGCTAATTGTAGACGACGTGAAGACGCTCCAGATCCAATTTGAATCAAGTCATTTGCAGCTGTGAGCAGAACGCTATCAACGTTTGAAGCCGCTGTGCAGAAATCCGTCTGTGCTCTCTATCTTTCGTTTTAGGCACATTCAAGCCTATTGTGACTATAACAGAGAAAAACGGTGACGGGAAGCTCCGGATGACATCTTGCGATGAAGAGTGACACCTTGTGATGAAAAAGCACGCCTTGTGATGAGAAATCGCGCCTTGCGATGAAAAAGCACGCATTGAGATGAGAAATCACGCCTTGGGATGAGGAATCACAGCTCATGCGAAGAAATATTTACTCCTTGCGATGCGAATTTCATGCCTTGTGATAATTAACGGGCTCAGCCCAGCTACTTCATTCACACCCCACCCCACATGCTCGTTGGGCGAGGATTGGCTGGGTTGATTTCGCAACACACTTCGCCGAGTCCGGTTTTCTTACCGTGGTTCACACCACCGTTTGTCGAAATTGAGGAGGTTTGGTTTGCGAGAGATATAGGTGGTAATTTGCGAGGAACCATTCAGTATATTCTTTGTTTGATATTTTCATCAGTTCTAGAAAGAAACATCACTTGAACATTTTTTTGTTTTTATCCCAACCTCTTTAATGCTAATCGTTGTATTGTAGCACTAATCGAAGCAAAACCTTTGCATGTTTTCCAAACCAGCTGTTTGTCACTGCATCTCCACTAACCTTGTTCACACCCTGATGCAAGATTTCTATTCCAACCATACAAATTATTGACACACAACTGAATACAAATACCCAGTACACAAACAACCGCATCTCCAGCTGGTCTGCATTCTTGCATCGACAACTAAACTGCAGTCAACCCCTCACTGAAGGATTGGGTACTAGTTGCAACCGTCAACAAAAATTTGCATCGGAGTATGAATCAAGCAGCAACATCTCCTCCCCACTCCACACACGCCTTATTTCAAGATTGACAGGACATGCATACGGTAGCTGGCAGTTGTGCTACAGGGCTGTAGGGAAACTTCATCTAAAATCACCAGATGTAGCTAGCGTCATACCAAAGATCCTTGCTCACTTCCACTCCAGAAAGAGCCGTCCCCAATAGCTGCAAGCTGGCATCGCTCACTCTAACTTTTGAGTCAACTCACAAGTCACCTTCAACTTGCATCACTAGAAATAGTGCCAGGCAAAAGATCCTTGCTCACCTTTACTCTAGGAAGACCGTCCGCAACAGCTGCCAGCTGGCACTTCCGGTCCTGACCTGCTTCAAACGAGGTTGCCCCTTCAGCAGCTTCGCACCCTTCTTTGTCATGACAGAATTCGATATGTCCAACAATTAAAGTGTGGAAAAATGCTGCATGTGCTCCAGGCCAGCATCAGTGATCATATCTAGAAGGACCAGCATTTTGAGCTGGGTTAACGGTGCCAGGAACTGAAGCCCATGGTCCTTCACTCCGCTTCCGAACAGATACAGCTCCTCAAGGCTTGCCGTCCCCCCCGCGAGCACCATGCCGGCACAGGTCACCCCCTCGCACTTGTAGAGAATCAAGGTCTTGAGAGAAGAAAGGGTCGCCAGGTGTGGTAAGCCCGCACCATTCACTGCGGCTTGATTGAGGTAGAGAAACTTCAAACTGCTTCTAGCCACCCCAATGCCCTCCAAGGTGCATCGGTAACAGCGCTGCCTTTGAGCTCTAGACTCTCCAGCTGAGGCAGCGAGTAGAGGCACTTGATGCCTTGAGAGGTGACGCCTGATGAGGAGTCGATGTGCACGTGCTTGAGGTGAGCCATGGAGGCCAAGTGGGTAAGGAGGGCATCTGAGAGGTGCAGTTGACCCTTGAGACCAAGTGTTGCTGTTGCTTGGATTTTCTGTGAAGGGAGGTGAACGAGGGAAAACTACATAGCACGTGCTTGAGATGATTCATGATGGCCACGTGGGCCAGGAGGGCGTTTGAGAGGTTCGCTTGACCCTTTAGATCCAATGTTACTGTTGCTAGGATTTTTTAAAGAGGAAGGTGTCAGGGAAAAATATCAATACAAGGACCATTAGAGAGAGAGAGAGAGAGAGAGAGAGAGAGAGAGAGAGAGAGAGAGAGAGAGAGAGAGACGGTGAGTTCATTTCACTCTCCAAAACCGGCGGCTCGCTCGAGAGAGAGCGAGAGAGAGAGCTTAGGACTAGTCCTTAGCCGTTTTTAGCCCTCTCTAGTGTAGAATCCAGTCCTTAGCAGTTTTTAGCCTAGTCTCCTAGTATAAAGTCCTTAGATGCACCCTTTTGAGCTCATTCTTCACTGGTGAGTTCATTTCACTCTCCAAAACCGGCGGCTCGCTTGAGAGAGAGCGAGAGAGAGAGAGAGAGAGAGAGAGAGAGAGAGAGAGAGAGAGAGAGAGAGAGAGAGAGAGAGAGAGAGAGAGAGATGGCTTAGGACTAGTCCTTGGCCGTTTTTAGCCCTCTCTAGTGTAGAATCCAGTCCTTAGCAGTTTTTAGCCTAGTCTCCTAGTATAAAGTCCCTAGATGCACCCTTTTGAGCAGTGATTCTTCATTGGTGAGTTCATTTCACTCTCCAAAACCGGCGGCTCGCTCGAGAGAGAGCGAGAGAGAGGGAGAGATGGCTTAGGACTAGTCCTTAGCCGTTTTTAGCCCTCTCTAGTGTAGAATCCAGTCTTTAGCAGTTTTTAGCCTAGTCTCCTAGTAGATGCACCCTTTTGAGCTCATTCTTCACTGGTGCGTTCATTTCACTCTCCAAAACCGGCGGCTCGCGCCGACCGCCTTCGGCCGCATGAGGTGTGACAAGGACCAAGGGAACAAGGACTATAGCATGGAGCAGTCCAACAGGCTGTGCTAGACAACACACAACAACAACAACACCCCCAGGCGTGCCTACACCGCCATGGGGAAGCCCAAAGCCAGGCCTACCACACGGCAGGCTGGCAAGGGGAAGGCAGCACCTACTCAACCAGGATCCAACAAAGCCGCCCGTCCAGCCAGCGTAGGACAGACGCGGCTGCGGCTACAAGGTCGAGCGGGTCGTCCTGAGCAGACTCGGCAAGCCGCGCCAAAGCTCCAGGGCCAGGCCCGAGGGCAGCCCCAGGGGAGCCCGGCACAAAGCCAATCAGGGGGAGGTAATGCTGCAACTCCTCCGCTGCCGATACTGCAGCTGACTGCGCCGCTGGCTGCATCGCCTCGATCTGCACTTCCTGCTGCAGCAGGGTCACGTGAAGCTGGTCGAGCACATATGACAGGAGCGTCAAGCAAGTCCCCACGTGCATCACGCGCTGCTCGACGAGAGTTGGAGGCTCGCTAGGAACCACGGCAGGGGGAGGAGGCGGGGCGGGAGGCATTACCGGCCCCAATTGGTGCTGCGGACGGAGGGGCAAAGGAAACCGACGGAGCGGAGATTGAGCTGGCCGCTGCTGTGCTACCCAGAATGACGACGACGGCGGCGGGGAAGTCTGTGGCTGGTGATGCTGTTGTGCCTGCAGTGGAGAGGGCTGCTGTCCTGGTGTCTGCTGGCGTTTCTGCCGCTGCCTTTGACGCCGGCTCAGTTTCACCCTCTGACATCCCACGGGTTGCACAGGTGGAGGCTGAGGGGAGGAGGTTGGAGGCGGATCCGGAACAGACCGCGGAGGTGGCGCTGTCTGCGTCCCCGGCACCGGTGACGCCAGCTGTGCTGGCGGCGGTGGTGTCTGCTGCGACTGGGGAGCAGGGTGACGCCTCGACGGCGGAAGGCGCGACGACTGCCATTGCGTGCGCCGAAATGCCTGCTGCTGCCGCGGCCGCAAGCAGGCAGAAGCACGGCCAGGCAGTGGGAGAGTTTCCAGGACCCGCGAACGGCGATTCCTCCGGCGCTGCACAGGCGAAGTCGAAGAAGAAGCTACGGACCCAGCCAGCACCGAGACGGCCCGGAGCAGGGCTGGGACCTGGCTCCCCGGGACCCCTCCGGGGCTGGCTTCTGCAAGGGCAACCGCCATCAGAGCGAGCGCATCGGTCGTCATCTGCGCACACGCAAGAGGCACGAGGGGTTTGTGGACTCAATGAAGCGGCAATAGAGACGACGGCAACCCGCCATGCAGAGCAGCCGGCTCCAAACCAGGACAATGAAACGCACATGCACTCACCGCCAGGCCCAGTCGCTCCAGCCGCAGAAGCCGTCGCCACTCGTCGCTCGGCTCGGTTGGGAGCTGTCACGTGGGGTCCACCAAGGGGTGGCCGTACCCCGTGGATGCCGGCGGGGAGAGCGGGACTGGAAGCGACGGCTCGGCCAGCGCCGGCGGCAGGCCGGGGTTTCCGCGGTATGGGCCGCGGAAGGCGAGGGGGAGCGCGCGGGGGTGTCGCTCGCCTGGGGGGAGCCGAGATCCAAGCACGAACTGGCCCTTGGCGGGAATGTCACGACCGCCCGGAGGTTTTGGAGGCCGCAACCAATAGGGAAGAAGCTGGTTCTGCTGAGGACACTGGGGATCCTGAGTTTATGTGTGGAGAGGAAGCTGGCCCAGAGTCCGAAGAGATTTCTCTGGATAACGAGGAGGAAGTGGGAAGAGCCCGGAATCGAGTGAGAGGAGCGGGAGAGGGAGTGGACGGAGCGACATCCCAGGCTGAAGGAGTGCCTCTACCAGCTGCCACGGTCACAAACGAAGTAAAATCGCCGGCCACCCTGGCAGAGGATGACGCCATCTGGCAGGCGGCAGGAACGTGGACTCTGGATCTCCTCCAACGGATGGACCAACCTTTCCTAGTCAGACGACTGCCACCTCAAGTGTTGGACAAATTCTGCCCGTGTCTCCTCGCACCTCTCCTGCGGCAGTCAACAAACCCAGAATGCCCAGGTGCTTGGGCGACCCTACTGTACCTCCCGAGGCTGACATTGCGCCCGCCACCAGAGCCTGTTGCCGGCAGTCGATGGGCTGAAATTGAGGCTCGGCTGCATCAGTTCCAGCTGGGAGATTGGGATGGTTTGTACGAGGCTGCTTGCACCATCCGCGACACGGGTGCTCCGCTAAGGCACCAAGTTGATGACGAGGGGGTTTGTGCGAGAGCGGAGGGTTTGGTTAAAAAAGGTAACATTTCGAAGGCGGTTGCGGCGTTACATACGAGCCCCCTCGCCGAACCAAACTCTGCGACGCTATCCGCCCTGCGAGCGAAACACCCGTCATCTAGCGCTCCAACACCAGCCTGGGTTAGCGGGATAACTGACTCCGAGCTCAGTATTCCAGTCGAAACTCTACGCGAAATCCTCGCGAAATGCCCGAACGGGGTAGGAGCGGGGCCCTCAGGCTGCTGTTTTGAACACCTACGAGACCCAGCCCTGGCGAACGAAGAGATCCTACTGCTACTGGCGAACGTGGTCAATCGCCTTGCCAGCTCTTTCCAGAGCCAACCGGTCCGCGCCCTTCTACTTCCTTCTCGGCTTATAGCTTTAGAGAAGCCTGGGGGAGGAGTTAGACCGATCGCAATAGGCGAGGCATTACTCTGAGTGGTGGCTAAAGCGGCGCTACACAGTTTAGGCCCGAAAATCAGGGAGTTTTTTCTTCCTGTCCAGTTCGGCGTAGCGGTCCCAGGAGGTGCGAAGTGTATTATCCACACGGTTCGCTCTCTCCTTAGAGACGACGAGACCCGCATAGCTCTACAGCTGGACGTTGAGAACGCCTTTAACAGTGTAGAGCGCGCGTCATTCCTCTCCGCCCTCCAGTGGTCCACTCTCAACCCGCTGATCCCGCTCGTCAGGAACCTCTACGATGGCCCCTTGCGGCTTTTAGTCGACCCTCGCTTGGAAGTGCAGCACATCCAAAGCTCCAGGGGTGTCCGCCAAGGGGATCCGCTGGGACCTCTCCTTTTTGCGGCGGCGATCCAGCCAATACTACTCAGCGTGGCCACGAGCGTACCGGAGGTGGCAATAGTGGCTTATGCTGACGACATCACCATCGTCGGGCCTCGCGAGGCAGCGTGCGTGGCATTCAACACGGTCGTCACGGAGCTGGCCTCATGTGGATTACGGTGCAACCTTACCAAATCGGCGGCATGGTGTGCGGTGCGGGAGGAAGGGGGAGATGGCCTGCCACACGGTCTCCCTATCCACCCAGGCGGTTTGAAAGTGTTGGGCAGCCCGGTCGGCAACGACGCCTTCTGCACCGACCAGGTCCGGGCGACGCTTGCGGAGGCGGCCGCGCCGCTACATCTCGTCTCCCAACTCAACCCGCAGCACGCACTACTCATGCTATCCCGGAGCATCTCCCGCCGCATCTCGTACTTACTTCGCACAATGCCAGCAGATGCACTGGCCCGTACGGAATGGCGGGAGTGGAGCGAGGCTTTGGTAGGAGCAGGGCTCGCGGCTTCGAAGCTTCAGATCCTGCCGAGCGAGCTAGAGCAGAGCTTGCTGTGGCGCCAGTCAACGCTCCCGGTTAGGCTAGGAGGCCTGGGAATCATTGATCCCATCTCTGAAGCCCCAGCAGCATACCTAGCCTCAACTGCAGCGGCACACCTTCTACTGCAGCAGCTGAACCTGCCGCCTGACTACCTTCTTCACAGGGCCGGGGATCTCCTCTCCCCGTCATCGGCTCCACCTCCACCCCGGGTCAACCCGCTGTCACCGCTCGAGGCGATGCTCCCAGCAGAAGCTGCAGCGGTCCTACGCAGCTATAGGGAGAACCCCAAGGGTGTGGGCAATCTGCAGCTGGGGCTATCCAAGGCCATCAACCACGCGCGGGCGGAAGAGCTGCTGGCAGATACAGTAACTGACAGGCTGGGGGTAGACCGAGGCCATGCTATACGGCTCATCAGCCTGAAAGGAGTAGGAGCAAGCGACTGGCTACATGCAGTGCCAACGAGGGCTGACCTCTCAATTTCCCCTGGTCAGTTCTCCATGGCACTAGGCCTGCGCCTTGGCATGGAACTACCAGTGGCGGAGGTCTGCCCCTGCAAGAGATCCAACGCCAAGATAGCCGACAAAAGCCTGCCGAACCACTTGCTACGGTGTGCAGACGGGGGGGATGCTGTGCGCACCCACAACACGCTGGCCTTCGATGCTCTCCGTATGGCGCAGGAAGCCGGGTACAAGACCTTTCACGAGACGACCGCGTTCTCTCCCCCTTTCCAGAACAAGCGAGCCGACCTTGCTGTGAGGGACCAAGAGTCGGGAGAGACTTGGGCGACGGAAGTGACTGTGACGGACCCGGTCCTACAGAGGAGGGATGTGAGGGCACGGAAGCCGCCGGGGTGGGCAGCTGAGGAGGCGTCACAGGCCAAGCACAGGCTCTACGAGGGGCGTCCTGGCTATGTTGGTTTCTTCGGCCTGGCGGTTGAGACCTACGGGGCGCTGGCCACTGACACTCAACAGTTCCTCCGTATGTTGGCTACCTATGCGGCAAAGAAAAAGTACCGCCAAGGGCGCCTCACCACCACCGCTGCCCGTATCAACGCACACTACAGGCAGCGGTGGTCGGTGATGCTCCAATGCGGCCAAGCGACATCCCTCCTCTCCAAGTCTAACCGGGCAGCGGAAGCGGCATTCCCTCAGGCTGCGGCGGACCCTTGGGCACCCCGTCTGGGAGACCTCTGGCAGATCCAGATGGACGAGTATGAGGAGCGCCAGGCTCCCGCTAGAGCGGCTTAGTGGGCCGGGGTGAAGGAAACTCGGTGACAAGGGGAGTCTGAGTGGCGGTAGGGGAGGGATATAGGGGCGTGATGAGGGTCGGTAAGAGGAATACTGAGTCTGGGAGGTTCCAGGGGGGCCAGGGAGATGGAAGGCGTCTCAGGGAAGGTGCGAGGAAGCTTCGGGGTGAAGAAGGATAAGGGGAGGTCCTATGGTATGGGAGTAACTAGGGATAGGTGGAATGTGGGGTCCTCTGATACTTGGGCTGCCATGGACCAGGCTGCTCTGAGAGCTAGGTGTTTGTGTGCCTTGGCTGAATGGGTTTGCTCTGTTTGCTGGTTAGTTCTGGTTTCCTGATTGCTTCCATGCTTAGCCAAGCTAGTTACAACCACTTGCCATGCCTGTACCTTGTGACCCATATCAATACATGACTGCTTGAGAGAGACGGCAGCAGTGAAGGATCAGCAGAGAAGCAGCAGTGAAGGATCAGCTTCCACAGGGAGTGCCTTTTTCCCAGAACGGCGTGCGTTTGCTTGGAAGCTTCGTGGGCCCGGACCGCGGGGCATCGCAGTTCCTGTCGGGTCAGCTGCAGGAAATGGCAAAACCTTTACCTCTTCTTGAGAAAGTCGACCCCCAGGTAGCATCCCTGTTGCTCACCCGCTGTATCTCAAGGCGGGTGGCATACCTTACCAGGACGACACCGCTCCACCTACTGCCTCACGACACTTGGAGTCAGTGGGGGATGGATTTGCTTACGGCGCTACTGACCGCATGCAGCATCCGCGTTCCCACCTGCCGCACTGAACAAGCACGCGTCTGGGCGCAGGCGTCACTGCCATCATCGCTGGGGGGGATAGGCATTACGGACCCTTTAATCGAAGGAGTGTACTGATACGCTGCAAGTTTCACTCAGGCCGCGCTTTTCCTGGCATCACTAGAGGATGTCTCTGATGGCGCGCTGACGCAGGCCCGGGACCACATGCTGCTGCCTGCAGACATCACCACACCTCTCCACGCGTGGCTTTCCGAGTGCGAAGCGGCGTTACCCGCTGACGCACGGGAGATTCTGGAGAAAGAGCGGCTGGAGCGTTCCGACATCTGACTCCAGCACGCCTTGGCGCTGAAGGTACATGGGAGAAGATATGCCGTGCAGGTTGAGGAGACACGGCAGATGACTCTGAACCCTTTGTACGGCCACACGCAAAGAATGTACTCCCTGACTGGTTACGGGACCGGGGATTGGCTAACGGCTATCCCCATTGCGGCAAACAAGAGGATAGGGCCCACTCACTTTTCCAATGCCGTACGCTTCTGGCTGGCCCTCCCTTTCTCCACACCGAAAAACTGCGACTGCGCAAACCACACTGCCATCACGGACCCCCGCCTCCCTAACCACCTTCTCCGCTGCGGCACGGGCAAGCACCGCATAACACCCATAACGAGCTGCGAGACGCCTGTATTAGTATGGCCCAGGACGCGGGATTCATCGTCCATAGCGAGTCAACAGCGTACTGCCCTATCGAGGAACAAACAGCAGACTTTACAATGACCGACAGAAGCAGTGGTGCTGTCTACGTGTATGACGTCACCATTACGGATCCCATTAGCACCAGAGACCCAGAGGCGCAGAAGGGCAGGGGCTAAGCGGCGCGGGAGCAGGCGGACAAGAAAATCAAGCACTACGCTGCCCGGCCGGAGACTGTGAAAATTTTCCCTCTCGTGGTAGACACGTACGGCTGCCCTTGCGCGGAGGTGCTAGTTTTCTTGAAACTCTTGGCGGATACTGCAGCTCGGCGCCACTTCAACGCCGACACCAAATCATTCTATGCTGCAAAGTTCCTACACCAGTCCAGGCAACGTTGGTCGGTGGCCCTTCAACGGGCCCAATCAGTGGGTCTCCTGCTCAAACTAGGGGAGGCTGCAGCAGCAGAGTACCCGCCTGTGGGGGGGATATGGGACGAGTTGCACCTTGGGGACTGCTTTGCAGTCATTGAGCCCCTGGTGGAGTTGTAGAGAGATTCTGTGATACGTGTGCCTTGCTTGTTAGATTACCAATGCCTCCGTGACCTGCATGTCTGTACCTTGCTGCTATATCAATACACGGACCATTAGAGAGAGAGAGAGGGAGAGAGGACGGAAGAAAAAAAGAAGGGTTTTCAATTCAGCAGCCAGCATTTATGCACACCTGCGGCAACAACTTGACATCCCCGCTCATTCTAATTTGCTCTCCTCATGCTTTGATGGCTGGCCCTGCTCCTCTGCGCACTCGCTGCCACCTCAGCCTGGACACACACGCCTTCCATCCTTGAATTCCCCA